GCGTGTCCAGGGTTTGCTTTTAACTTTTTTCTCAGTCGTTGTCCAACGCATCATTCCGGGGTTGCACCCCCGCCGGTAGCCACTTTCAAATACACCATTGTCCCTACTCGATTATCGTGATTGTCATTTCGACGAGGGTGGATTAGTATTTCAATTATTTGCACAATAAGACGTAAGCGAAAGAATGGCAGAAGAGTACCAATGGGAGCAGGGGCCACTATCGAGTGGAGTCGCGTGGCCATGTTGACACACTTTGAAACCTCCACGAGCAGGGATATGCTGAATCGGTAATCCGACCGAGAGCCGGTAACTTATTGTTCTAACTTACCGACTGTTCGAGACGCAACCCGAGTTGCGTATCCGTGGGTCGCCCCAGGCGTGAGAAATTAAGCCTGAAATAAATATGAAAAGTGTACGAAGGACATTTTGATTTTTAAGTATACATCGGTTTGATGAATTTCGCTCTGTCATCGATAATAGTCACGTCAAGGGATACGAACGATATCTGTAACGAGCATAATTATTATTATACATTGATTGTAAAGCGGATAATAAAAGGATAAAGTAAAAAAATCAATTTTATTGAATTTTAATTGAACCTGTTACTCGTGCAGACAAAGAACTGTCTAGCTATGAAATTTATTGGCTGATACGGCGTCGTATTTCTCATGGCTAAATATTTCCATCTGAAATAAGTGCTTCGAGATAAATCCCGATTATTTAGCCGACAAATGGTGCCTCGTGATATCCTATTGATTAATGCATCCATTATTCATAACGACGACTTTTTCGTTGACCTTGCTCGGTGGGAACGAGAAATGGCCAAGATCTCATCTGGGTGGCCGCAACGAATTAAACTTCCTTACAGCTCGGATAATTGTATCTCTTCAATATTTTCATACATTTACCGCGTGTCTCGCGTGATCATCCAAACTTTTACACAGGGTCCTTACGACAAGCTGCTTACTAGCAGGTGATTAACTCGAGTAATTACTATTGCCATTACACGCATGGTACATTACAAGTTCAAATCCTGTACTGGATAATATTGATTTATAGTTGAAAAAAATCGACCGCCTATTTCTTTTAAATTCAAGATTAAATGAGAGAGATATATAAACAGACATTCGAAGGAGCAAAAAATAAAATTAATATTCTTAATTCACGTTGGAATTCGTCAAATACGTTTCGTTACCTCAAACAGTCGGTGTGACGAAAAAATTGAAGTGGGCGTTGCAGATTTATGATCGTAGACATATATAGTATCTTTTAACAGACCGTATAATAAGATTACAGTACCTCGTGAATTTGTTTATGTTAATAATACGCTTTTTTTTCTTCTTACATTCTTTACGAGCGGTTCCATCGGAATGCATTTGGATAATATAATTGTACGGGATGCCTATCTTGATAGCAGAATACTCTGGTTGGATTTATACATATGTATATATGTATACACGCTGTACGTATAGCCTGCAGGAGAACACGCAAAGGACCAAGGACGTTCAGTGCCCTCGTGATCTGACCAAAACTTACACGGCTGGCTGATAGCCCGAGAGATAGGAGATTCCGTCTGGCGCCAGGGTACGGAAAAGCTAAGGTGTCATACCTTAATTACATACGATACATTATAACCACGAATAGTTTGATTGGTGCCTTTCGTAATAACGGTACAACCACATACCCAAGGTATAGCGTCTATCCAATTGAAATCTATCGGTATTAATCTTCGCTATGAAAGAACGTGATAAAATAATAAATTGAACAAATACATAATTTATATACGAATAATAAATGCATAATGAGAAATGAAATTTCCCCAAAAAAAATTCGAACAAATTTTCTATCGCGCCTGTCGATACGTTTACCACTATACAACGAGGTTCACGTAGAAGCATACAAGTTGTCTAGGAAAATAAATTTAAAATTGACTAAAAAATTTTTTTTTAACACAGACTGTAATTTCGTCATACGAAAATGTCAACTTTTACTTTCTACGTTATAAAAATTTTATTCACCTACCAGTGAGAAAATTCTTTTTTGGAATTTTATACAAAATTTATCCCGTCCTTATAGGGACTTTTGAATGGGTGACCGATTAGTGCCGGCAGTGCTGAGCCTGGTCCAGGTTGTTCACATGTCAGCATCCAGACCTCATTGTCCTTGCTGTAACAAGTATCTTTGTTAAGGTTGTGCAATGATGAATCCCTCGACACTAGGCACTAAGTAGCCATAGAAAAAGTTTCCAAAGCATAGGGCCGCGGTTGGGCAAGAGTGCCAGGAATAAAATAAATAAAAGAGGAAAACGCGACAGGTACGCATAGACACCGGAGAGTCTAGGAGGCTGAGTGGTTAACGCATGGCTGCCTCCGGAAATGGTCTCTACCCTCGAAGGATGACCAAACAGATAATTTGAAGAGGTTAGCCTAAAATAGTGCGTAAGAAAAAGAATTTTCTTTTGATCGCAGTAAAGTTGCTCAATTCGAAGTTCGGAATCGATTATCGCAGTCAGACCACTTAAAAGATACAAAGGTCCAGCACGGGCAATGCCTTACGTACGAGATGGGTCCATGGGATAATTACGCGATTCGAAGAATAATGCGTTTCGGCATTTCTCTATGGACCATTTATGGAATCAAAAGTACACGTGGTCTACCCGCTTGTAACAACGGAACTACTATCTACGCTACATGCGTCACGCTCTATTAAACCCCATTGATAATGCCGCCCACTCGCTTATTAACATAGAAAATACAAAGCGCCATTATTGTACAGCGTCAACCTTACCCGTACTTTTTTTCTTCAAGAGAAGTAAAAAAAAAAGCCAGCAAGACACATTGCTACTGTCGCGAAATCGAAGGATGCCGGAGCGCTTTGTTTTTCAGGCGGAGCCATTACTTTCCTTCGTACTTTTATTACACCCTTTATACGCCAACTTGTTCCGCGACTGTCTCGTATATACGTATATGACCGGTTTTATCGAGTGCGTCAGCCACGTTACTTACAAGTTACCCAAGCGAGGAATCGCGTGTACTTTTTGAGAATTACAAATTTCCAAGATCAATTCCTATCTTATAATCGATAGGAAGATCATTGGAGTTTAAATCAATCCCGTTCGTGTCTGCTCACTTACGCCCGAAGCCTTTGGGCTTGGGTCGGAATCAAGATCTTACTGTTGTACGTAGGTATAACATTATGCGGAATGTATGCATGATGCATGCCGTGCTATACACCGTATTCGCTATAATTCCATACATCATTGAGGATACGTGCTTATTTTCCGTACTGATCGCTTCATTCGCGTTACGCCTATTATTGATTAACGTTCCCGTAACGATGTGGATTTTTAATCGGCAGTGACGACTGTATCATTATATGGGAAATTGGAAAATAATTGACTAATTTGTGAATATCAAAATTCGACGATCGACAGGGTGATGGATGCGTTCGTTATTTTTAAATTGAATAAGGAAATTCATCTTTTGAAATTCGGTAGTACTGGGTAACAATGAATGTACTAGGTCAAGGACAGCTGAAGATTGATATTGGTATATACGGCAAATGGATTTATTATAAAATTGCTTCTGAAATAATGGCGATGGCGACTCAGCGCTATACATTTAAGATTTAAACAGTAAATATTACCTACGTGTCTTACATGTCTTACATATAAAAAGTCCTTATATGGTAATGGCATTTTATCATTGTATTGGAATATACTTGGATATACAGTGCTGGTCAAAAGTATTGGCACAGTGCTGGTCAAATGGACTCTGGCAATACTTTTTACCAGCACTGTACGCGCGCAGCATAAAGACACAGGAGAAGAAAATTAGGCCGAGTATTGTCAAAATTTCAAATTTTCCAAAAATCATACAGAACTTCCTATTGATACAAGTAGATTTCGGTTGTTATGATTATTTTCATCATTAACAATACGAATCATCGTTTCGCGAAGCGCTTGAGCATACAGTGCGACTGTGGGATCAGTTGGGAGGCGGATAAAAGAAATGCGCACGTCAAGAACTACAGTGTCTGCCACTTCAGGATATGACGTAGAGTTAACGATCACAAAGTACCTTTAAATGCATTAGCGGGATACACCTTTCGTTCTGGATCCATTTACATTTATTTTCATTCTTTTCCCACAAATTTCACTTTGTTCATCTTGGACCTTCGAAAAACAATTCAGAGATCCGATCCATGGATCTGGATCCAGAACGATTCGCGGTGAATTAAGGCTACTTGAACCGCGTGAGGAACTATCTCAATAGATTGAGGTAATGACGACGAAAGATGCTATCTAATTCTAATTGTAATAGTGTTTATTGTGACAATCAATTGCGTTAATTATTATCGTGCGTTAATAATTACCGATATCATTATTATTATAAAAAGGCTAGGGCCGCCTCTCGCGCGTTAACTCGAGAGCACTTCTCGTTGATTGAGATACTTCCTTGACGCCCGCGCGTCTTAACATACTAACGATACCTTATTTTAAGAAAAAAAAATTTTCAGAAATGCTGCCGCGACAAGTTCGCCAATTTTAATCGCATCAGCGGAGCCTCGAGTACGACTTCGAGTTAGGATCGATCGGATCGACTCGAAGATCATCGTGGTACCGGATCATACAAAAGAATCATTAAACATACAATCACGCCAAGAGGCTCTGGCTGCTGCGTTTTCATGAGTGCGTTATCGTCGCAGAAGCATTGCTACTGGTTATCGAATACCCTGGAGACAATAATGAATCATCTGGGACCTTCGACACGTTTATCTTGAGCGATGAGAGAATTTTTAAGATTTTTAACATTTTCTTTTTCTCCATCAAAATTAAGAGTGTCGAGAGGATTTCGAGTCTTAGCGAACAATCATTAATTCTTATGGATTGATTGGTCGTATCACCGAATCGATCGTGTTTATTTTTATTCACGGATCTATCCGGAGAAAGAGAATTTTTCGACTCGGTTCACTTTCACTGTTGTATTCTCTTTCGTTTATTTTTTTTTGTTGCTTTCATAAATAAAGTCCAATTTAAATATTAGCGACCATCTTTGACTACTACATGTGGATGGTACGCTCGCTAGGAATTCATTTGAGAATTCGCGTGTGGGAGTAGTATTATTTTTTGCTTCCTCCTGTAACCAAATTTGGATTCCCTTCTATTTGGATACAGTTTACATTTTTATTACTCCCAGCTACGCTTTCTCATTCGTCAATTTAATTTATGCTAAAACGTACCAACGGAGTATTAGAACGTCGTTCGAGATGAGCAAATTGTCTTATAGCGTTACGAAGAAGCGACGGATGATGTACAGCTATATACGAAACACCGAAGCGACGTTATACTACAGGCGCATTAAGACGCGATAGAATGAGCGAAAAAAGAAAACAATGTCTACACGTAAAATCATACGCGGGACAGCGCGTAATTATCTAACGAGTGACACGTGATATGAATATTTTCACCGGTAGAAACGGTACCATCGTAACGCGGATAAAAAATATTTGACTTACAATCAGTGAATTCTTGAAAATTTATACGAACATTTCAAAGGGTCTCCCTGCCATTGAAATTCACGAAAAGAAAGTCATGCGCCACGTCCGCCGTAAACAATGGTACCAACGACGTCCAGGATCTCTTCGTAATCCTTGATCCATTGAACATTCTTAAGATCCTAATAATCACACTTAAAATTAGAAGTGAGGCAGTTGAGTTGGCAAGAGCAGAGAATCAGTCGTTCGGTTTCTTACGTAGAAGGCACATCGATGTCGTAGATACACGTCATTAATATAATAGTTGAGGTTGCTTTCAAAGGGCGAGGAACTTCATGAGAGCATCGTATATCAATCGCGGATTGATAGTGCCATCGGCCGTGTACCGAACTCCCCTCAAGGATCCATCGTCATGGCTGACCACGCCGTATTCACCCACGATGAAACCATCCGGCGTCCTTTCCTCGACTCTATACTTTCGATAGTTCCGTCCTTCCACGACGTAGCCGACCTTGTGACCATCCTCGGCCTCGCTATTGGACGTCTCCGTGACGCTCTGAGGTCCATGAACGTTTCCGTTGCTACCGACGCTCACGGCTTCATCAATCTCGTAATTCTGCTCTTCCGGTTCCTGGGGTACTAGGGGTTGACCGTTTGACCCGTATATTTTACTTGGTTCGCTGTAGACCTTAGCCGGTTCTGAGTAGACCTTAGCTGGTTCGGAATAGACCTTGGCTGGCTCCGAGTACACTTTAGATGGCTCCGAATAGATCTTCTCTGGCTCCGAGTAGACCTTGGCCGGTTCGCTGTAGACCTTTGCTGGTTCACTATAGACCTTGGCTGGTTCGCTATAGATTTTTGCTGGTTCCGAGTAGACCCTGGCCGGCTCACTGTAGACCTTTTCCGGTTCGCTGTAGACTCTGGACGGTTCGCCGTAGACTCTCGATGGTTTACTGTAGACCTTGGCTGGATGACTGTAGACCTTAGACGGTTGATTATAATGCGAGGAGTCATAGTGCCTACCGACTTTTCTACCTTGATGCAGGTGCTCAGGTATTTCCGTAGGTTCCACGTGTTCCTCCCTCTCCTCGGAACTAACTTCCGGTACCTCGTAACTCTCTTCCTCAGGCTCGGAGTGAGTGGTCCCACCAATATCCGCCTGTTTCCTCGAAAAAGCAGATGTTGAATGTTGATAAGCCGTTCTCGAGGTAGGTCTAGGTGTAGCTCGAGCACGCGAACGCCAGCTGGTCTTCGGCGAATCCTCGTCAACGGAGAATTCACTTCTATTCGACTCGGACACAATATTACTCAACTCTTCGGTGACCAGAAGAGCAGGTAATGGAGTCGTGGTCGTGGTACTGGTAGTACTACTGGTAGTACTCGTACTGACAGTCGTTCTGGTAGTACTCATAGTCGTACTGGTACTGCTCGTAGTAGCTGGTCTGGAAGTTGACGAGACGACCGGCATTCTAGTCACAGCCATAATATCCTCGCCATCGTAATGCTCCACCCTGACTTTGTAAGGCGTAGCTTCCACGGTGGAAGTAACGCTTACGCCAATGACCTTTTGATTGACACTCTTGTTAGTCTCATTGTTAGCCTTCGTTTGATTAGATTCGACAATGGCGTCCCGAGCCTGAGAAGGTGCTTCGGTTTGCGCCGTCGGATTGGCCGTGATTTTCCTGACCGTCCCCAGATCATCGATCAGCGCCGACAAATTCTCCTTGTTCTCGGCCGACTGCTGACTTATCGGATAGTAACGAGGGCCGTCTTCCTTCGGCGCATCCAGGGGCTTCGGGCCAACCGGTCGGACGTTCGAGGTGCGCGATATCCTGTAGATCGAGGCTTCGTGCTGCTGAGATTCGGCGGCCACGTGGTCGGCCGGCTGTCCACCGCGCCTGAACCCTCGACGACGAGGAACCGGTGCCATGGCGCCGTTTATGAAGACCGACAGGAACTCCGTGCCGGCCAATATGTCGTTTCGCTTAGCAGGAGCTGCGCTTCCCTGTTCCCAAACCAATGCCGCTTGAAGCAGTACCTGGAACGATGAGGAAAATAATGAATATCCTATTGAAATTTTTCATACGTAAGGAAATAAAAAAAATTTCAACTGTCAAAATTATTCTTCCACCTGGTATAATATATTTTCTATACTTTGTCATGCTCGGATCTACATGTCGATAGTCGATATCTTGTCCGCGCGGAACATCTAGACTGTCGATTACTATCGGTACGGTATTTCGAGGCAGGAATAAAGGTCCCTCCGTCACGTACGACCTCATTCAAAAAGTGATATATCCCCGATTTATCAGCGTGACTGTTACATCGTATTAAACAATAGGGCGAACACCCGCCAAGCTAGGAAAGATTTAAGATTCGAGACCGTATAACGGTCGCAGGCTGATGTCGCAAAGCGCGAGCCGTAACGCGAATTCGGCTACCGTGCTGTTGGCGCAATACCGAATCGCTCTGTATTCTTGCCTAAGTTGCCTACTTTCAACAGCGACCATGATCCTGCTACGACCATGAAATATTGCTACCAATGAATTGCTGCATAGCCGCACGAAGAGCGAATAACAACCTGTATCGGTATTGAGATCGAGTACACTTAATTACCTAATCTTTCGAAAATTGCTAAAAAAAATTATTTGATAAAAACATTTTTTTTTCATTTTTTAAATTTATCTCGACATTTACAAATTTTCATAAGAAAATCGATTATGCTCGTGTATATCTGGAATCAACAGTAGAGAGATCCCAACGAGCTTATCTTACCACAATTACGGATTAGCATTACTCGACCTTGATCTATCACGACGCATTACGCGTACAAGGCATTCTTGAATATCTCCGTCGAACTAAACTATACATGAAAATCGCTGTCGAGGCTTAAACGGACGATCCGGTTGAAGACCTGGTAATCCAAATGCGAAATCGTGATCTCGTTTGAATCCCGTCCAATAGCCAAGAGTGCGTAATGACTTGTATTAGCAAACAATGGAGAGGTCTTCGCATTGCTTATCCACTAAAGGAGTCTAACCCATCTTGTATACGTACTAATAACAAAGTCCTTGCTCCTTACATAATTATTTAAATAAACCAGTCGACTAACATTCTCACCTAGGTCTTTAAATTTGCTATAGTGTCTGCCTCAATGATAAAATGGCTTTGACCGTATTTGCTTTGGAAAGGTACTTTCACGGCATCGTGAAGATTCATTCCGATTGGATTAAATTAGCACTGCCGATTATAACCAAGATTCGCATTTTTTTTCGAATACCCGAGACAATAAATAGAAAAAGTAGCTTTTAAAAAATTCAATCGGACTAACTTACGGAAATATCTGAGAGCCAAGTAATTATTACGCCACGCACTCACGAGACGTATTCAAGATATTCTAGAGCGGAATGTTACTCGATTACTCGTAAAGGCTCATTTGCATTCCAATTACGTGACCGTCAACATTGGAATTCCTATGAAAATTCATACTCATATACTTACGAACGACATAATCGTGTACCTAAATAATTTTCAATCGTAAGCTTTTACGTCAATTTTTCACGTAAACGCTTATTCGTGTTTTCGACTACTATTTTTAATTTTTTTTTCCCCTCTTTGTCAACTCTAAGGTCCCTTTCATCGATTTGACAAAAGAGCATGCCTTTCTTTCTTAGTAAACGGATACGAATATGGCGAATCGATTGCGTGGGCAGAATGCACTCACAGACAGGTTACCAACTTTACCATACGTTTCCCCAGAAAAATGCGGAAACGTTTCGGACACTTTGTTAGCGTACTGTGTGCTATAAATATATATATATATAATGTATATATGTAATAAAAGGGTCTAGGATTTGAATGCGTAAACTGTGTACTTCTTTCTTTGAGAGTATATCCGCATATACTACTCGAGTTCTTTAACCTTTGTTTTCTGCCATTATATTCAAATGAAGCGAAGACACTTTGGCTTTACTTATCAAAGAGTTCGGTCGAAGCTAAGTCACTTATGGGAGGATCGATTGCTCTCGTTATGCGGACGTATTTTTATGGGCGCCGAAACGGGTTTGGTGACTTCCCGAATTATCAGGATGACAGATACTTGACCTTCTGTCCATTAAATCTAATCCGTGTCGTCAGGCATCATCGTGATTTAATTCAAAAAGATGAATCGAGCTGTCTGAAAAGTTGAATCGGGAAGTTGGGACACCTGAAAAAATTCCGAGTAGCAACATTAGATTTGCGATACCTCAAACCGACCTGTAGCTTCCTCTTTTTGTAGAGATTTTAGGTACTCCTTTTCATCGTGAAGTTACATTATTTTGTATTAGAAGTAAATAAGAGGAAAAAAATTGAAAACTTGACAAATCGGGTAAACCACGTGTTTACGTCGACCAATCGAAAAAGAGATTTCCCTCTGCATCGAAAGAGGCTGCATCTATCACAATTCTCACTGACGATCTCCACGAATTCGAAGATGCCTTCTGTGGCACAAGAAGCTCTCCAATGATTCCTTTACATCAGTAAAAATAATTTTTGCCTCCTTTCCTAGAAAGGACGTGGACGTCCATACAGGATATACGACAAACACTTAATTTTGATTGGATCGCAAAAATCCATTTTGCAATCTGGATCTAACTGTATTTCACCCAAAGTCCCGTACTGAGGTCAAGTGTATACCTATGTATCCACGTACTTATCAAACTACTCGATTATCCCGTTATTCGCAATCGGATAAAAATAGTCGTTCGACGTCAAGGATTCGCGTGGGCAAATATTGTAGAACAGTAAATGCCAATTTGAATCAACATGCATGGACGTATATATGTACATTTATATATATATATATATATATATATATATATATATAAATAATCATTTAGAAAATGAACAATAGGCAGGAGCGGCCTATTTGAAGAAGATTTGCTCATCGCGAAAGAATTGCGGATTTCAAAAGTTGAACGACTGTTCTCACGTTTTACCACGTTACACAGCCTCGCAACGAGTAAGGCGTTAAGCCACGTGTAATCGGCGAAAAAAAAAGATCATCGAGGTAAACGTGGGATCTGTAGACCGCGGTATGCCAATAAATGACATATAGATAGATACGTGTATATCGTATCAAGAGATATCAGGTTCTGAGGAATTTGCGAATAAAGAGTCGAGCGAGGCCATCACTGGGCGTGGTAGGTTAGCATACAGTATACTGTATACCCTGTATTGCCGTAAAACTCGTTTGCCAAGTGTAAGCAACTTTGTGCAAATTAAAACAATAATTGCATTTCTTTAATCCACATATATATACATATATATCAAGGAATGAACTGGATCTTGATCGAGTGATGCAGTAAATGCAATTTTTTTTCCCTCGTCGATCCAAACTGTTTACAATTTTTTAAAATTTAAATTCACTGCAATATCTCTTCTTGCAATGGAGACCGATAATGCATTGAAATATTTTCATCAAACTTATATGATATTCGGTAAAAAAAATTTTCTTGTATTTTAATTTTGTCCTGGACATTCGAGATATTTTTGAAAATCAGATAATTCAAATGTAAGGTACTCAGGATTTTTTAGGTATTTAAGGTTTAATTACGCGAAGGACCGTAAAGACGCTCTACAGGAGTTCGGTGATATAAGATGAAACTGCGAGGGACGTATCCTTGATTTTCTCTTTATTTTTTTTGGTAATTAAAATACACCAGGTTATTTAACGACAGCGCTACGACCACGCGTGCACGTGCTCTTAAGCATTTCACGAGCATGTGGGCAACCTTGCACGTTCAACCATATAGAAATCCCGAGTTCGTGGTCTTGTATGTAAAAATGTAGAGAATGAAGTTCAAATGAAATAATTATCGATTAATAACTTAACTCTGGTAGCAAATTACGACCCAGCACAATCGTGGAGTGCATAACACAGTCAAAGATTACGTTTACCTTGCGATAATACGCCACCTCAATTACCGCATTGACCAAGACCTTTTTTCCCCGCATCCTTACCTTGTACAACAGGTAAAAATAGAAAAAAAAAATACCAGGTAAAAAAATTTTGAAAGAGATTCTAGAAGAAAAGGAGAAGATTAAGAAAAATGAGTAATCGCACAACGAGCGACTGGCAAAAGAATCGGGGAAAGTACGAAAAGGTCTTTTGAGTGAGCACGTGGTCAAAAAAAGATATGTGAACGAAATAGTCGAAAATGTAATATCGTCTAATCGATCGCAAAGTTTCATTACAGAAACTTTCACGGAGTCAGTACGAAGTGGTACAGCGACGCAGCATCCCGTTATAGGAGTCCTGGGTTATGCTTCGACGCGTGCCTTTATAGAAATTGAAGGCGTCGCGCCCGACGAACATGCACCCACCCTACTCCTTCCGATCGTATTCGATAGGTTCGTGAGGTCATACGAGGTATCTCGCCCAAAATATTTCTGGGCGCACTTTTTAAACCGAGGGAAAGGTGTCAAAGTATTTGGGTCAGTGTATTCAACGAGCGACGAGCGAGAATCCACAACGAGGATCGTATCAGATACGTCATCCTAATGACTTCCTCATGCGTGGGTGTTGGGTTTGAATTCCTGGCACGGAGAACGTCCTGTACTGTCTGATGTGTGTTGTGCGACGTATCTTGTGCTCGAGATGGTAACGACCAGCGCAACACGATTCCAATGGAAGCTGAGTTCATCTCCTGGACCAGAGAACAGTTTCACTTTCGAGTCTGGCCTCTGCCCGCGCATTCCATAAGGTTTCTTCTTGGAGATTAAATAAGTGGAGAGAGATAGTGGGGGCGGGGTGGAGGGGGGATGATAAAAAAAAATACAATTTTGTTTACCACCGAAATTACGAGGAAGTCGATTATACGTATTTCGACTGAAGAAAATTTTTTAATTTTTTTATTAAAAAATTTTGAGGTTAGATCGATATAGATGTAACATAATTGCAACCTGAATTTCAATGGTTCGCGGGACACGAACCAGTTGTACGTTGCTAAACATCTATTTAATTAAATGTCTCACGATCTTACCGATTCGTTCGTG